GATGCATAGGTACTATATTTCAACATAAAGGAGGTAGTTAAAAATTTCAAGATGACTGCTGGGCAACATTTTGTATTCTTCTATGACGAGCTGGCAAGCTTTCAAAGTTGAGTGTTTTTGCTCATAAAACCGCTCATAACTCAACAACTAATAAAATGAAGACGTATGTTATGTCGATTCTCTTACCAAGATATCACCCAATTATTGGTGGGACAACAGAGGTTGACACACTACAAACATACAGTGATCGAAACAGAAATATAACATTCCAGAAGCTGCACAATTACATAACAGATTTGCAGAGGGCGTTAATTTAAATTCAAATTCAAAATATTTATTTCGTCATGAATAAACATCATAAACATAGGAAATTCTACAATATAGAGCAATGATGAAAAAGGACAGCCTCTCGATCATAAAACCGATACATTGGACCCTTTAATACAAATTGTCCATGCGAGAAAGCCCTGAACACCCTAAAAATTCTTAAACAAAATAAAAAAAACAATAAAGAGGCAAATGTAAAGAACCCCCGGGAACAAATCTATACAACTTCTCAGCGAGTAGGAGTGCAAAAACGATATTTTTGCTCACACCAACGCTGCTAAAGTAGCTGGTGATTCTGTAACAACGTTTTTGTCAGCTTTGAGAATGTTTTTGACGATGAGCTTTTAACTGAAGTTCGTAAATTATTCCATAAGTGAACCGCCCCATAGGCAAATGATCGTCGGAAGGAACGCGTTCTATGCCTAGGTACGATAAAATTCAGATTATTTCTGCTTCTCTGGGGACCAGGTAAAGGCACAAATCTTTCTCTTAAATAGGGCGGCTGACCTGTTCTGATGACCCTATAGATAAAAGAATACGTGTGATATTTTCTGTGATTCATCATATGTAATATGTTGTAGTTTTTCAGATAAGGAGTGATATGTTTTCGATATGGAATTCCAAACGCAAATCTCATGCAACTGTTTTGAACTTCTTGTATACACTTTTTGGTTCGCGACGATAGCGAATCACCATAGACGACATCTCCATAGTCAAAAAGTGATAAGATTAAGGTATTACACAAATAATATTTTTGTTTGGCTGATAAATGTTTTTTAATTTGTTTATAGCTCTCAGTCGCATGTAAGATAAATTTGTCCTGTTTTTTATATGACTTCCGAAGCCAAGCGAGCCAAGATTTTTTGTCTCATGAACCATGGGGATTCTTTCATTGTTAATAGAAATTACTAAATTTTGTCCAAAATGTTCTCTTTGATTACTATTTTTATTCATAATCATTACTTGCGATTTTGAGGGGTTCAGTTTAAGATTGTGTGCAATTTGGACGGTGGTTTTATTGAGAGGGAGATATATTTGTGAGTCACCTGCGTATTATTTTATCTTTGCGAATTTTACCGAGTTGACCATATCAGATATGTAGATTGAAAACAGCAAAGGAGATAAAATTGAACCTTGAGGACTCCTCTTTTTATAGGTTTAAAATCGGTTTTGTGAACAGCGGAATCATTTGCTAACATAACACAACTTGAACGGTTGCTTAAGTATGTTTTTATCAGATTTACGGAGCTCTGCGAAAACCCCTGGTAATGTAACTTGGCTAGTAACATTTCATGATTCAGAGCGTCGAACGCTTTACTAAAATCGAGAAGAACCATGCACGTACTATTTTTTTGTTCTTAATGATGTCTGATATCATCCAAGATATTAACTATGTACTTGTGCTAAAGTTTTTCCTAAAACAAAAAATCTAATTTGATTATAAATATGCCTTTCTAATATTTTGGATGTAGCGGGTAATATGCTAATAGGCCTCAAGTCTGTAAATTCTTTAGGTTCTGCTATTCTTGGTAAGGGTTTAACAATCGCTTTCTTCCATATTTCTGGAAATAATCGCCCCAAAATACACGTGTTGATTATATTCAGCGAGGCATTCGTACAAAATGCGATACAGAACTTTAGGTCTCTCATAGAGAAACCATCCTCTCCAATGGCACTTGATGAGATATTAGTTACAATTTTGATTAGACTGGCCCTGTCTAATAGTTGGAAGCTAAGAGTAACGTTAATGTTGTTTTTGTAAAAACTGATTAATTCTTGGGAAGCAGTGTCTGGTAACTTGTCGGTCTGTTGGAAGTAATTGTGTATGTTATTTACATTTTGTAAGTGTTTGGGTGTAGTAGAGTGAGTTTTCTTGCATGTTATGTTGAACTTTTTGGTAGTGTCCCAAAATTCCTTACCTTTCTTTGTTGAGAGTAAGTTAAAGAATGTATTTTTTTCTCGGATAATTACATGCTTTGTATAGTTCTTTAGCTGTTTATAATATTCAAAATGAGCCTGTGATTTGGATTTTTGAAATTTTTTATGAGCTTTATCTCTTAGTCTGACTAAAATTCTTATCTTATTCTGAGCTATCGGAGTATTTTTATTCAGAAAAGTTACTATATTTTTATTAGACGATTTGGTTTATATAGTATATATCCTTATATCCTCCCAACCAAGTAGAAGCCCTTCATTTAAGAAGGATTCTCTATCTACGAGTATATTATTGTAGTCTCTATATTTAATGGTCATTTGTGATTTATTTATTTTTGACTTTCGAAAGGCTGAGTAAATTAAATTATGATCTTAGAGATTTTGAAGTACCGCCAATGATTTAATATCAATAGAGATAAGATCCTCACTAGCACAGATTTTATCAATGAGGCTTTAATAAAAAGCGCATGTGTATCGAATATTTCAATTCGTTTTGTTCGTTGTTCAGACAGTTAAACATAGAATATAAGGGAGACTGCTCAAGCACTTTGGCCCCGGAGGTTAGTAAATAAAATGTTTGAATATTTCTGATGAGACATCTTGATATAATAAATGACAGGCGACTGAGGACCTAGAGTCCATCAAGCTGGCTGTAAACTAACTTCAGCAAAAATATCGAGTGCGCCTTTCTTCTGTGGTCTAGTGTATCATGCCTCTCTAACAATATATCCTGCAGAGGTGAAAGTATGGGACAAGTAGTTAAGAAATTTAGCACATTTTGCCACTTTTTTTTTAAATGGACTGTTCCATATTCTATTATATATTCGCATACACCCTTGCAAGATAAAAAATCGATATTACATACTATAGCGTTTTGATAATTTGTTGTGAAGTTTTAAACTCAATGTACAGAGACTATTTCTGTCAGTCCGCTATTTTTAATGTTAGCGCTTTAATACTTAACTACTTATAAGGGGTTTCAAAACACCCATTTTATTAAAAAAAAAATTATATGGAGCCCTGCCGCCATTTTGTTGTTTTCAACTGCCGCTTTTTCATTGAAATATAGTATTTATATATAAGTCTTATCACTCCAAATTTCTGAAAAACATGTATTTTATTTTGATATTTTATACCGACTGTTTAATTCATATAGAATGGATTTGAATCAATCTATTCTGATATTATTCTAATGCTATAGAAGAAAATATCTGGATATAGGGTACGTGGAGTTGCCTACTGTTAGGTAGATTCGCTTTTATCTGGTAGGTCTCAGTATGTATGTCTCACTTATAAACGTCAAGTGTCTGTGGCACATGCTGAATCTACTAGGCTCGAGATGGACAAGGGCGTGCCGCAAGGCTCTGTTTTAGGACCTGTTTTATTTACATTATGATGATTAGTTTTCGGTGAATCAGCTTCATCTAAACTCAGACAAAACATTAATTCTACGATTTCGCAATAGACTAAAAAGGGTGGTGTCTTTGGAACTAAAACTAAAAGACACTCCTATGCAGATCAGTTATAATTCAAAATTTTTGGTCGTTGGTGTATATATTGACTAACAGCTCAAATTCAACAACCATTGTGACTGTTTGTCAACGAAGCTAAAAAGTCAATTCTATTTACTTAAAAACTTAAGCACTCTGCTTAAGCGATCTCAATATCATCTTATATTACGCCTAGCTAGAGTCACGGCTCAGGTATGGAGTGTCTTTTAAAGGATAAAAATTTTAACATTGACATCACTTTTCATTTTTGGACTGCGTGTATACTTTTTTAAATAGGCAGCGTTGTGGGCTTAACACTGATGTACATACCATTAAAACCCAGCAAAAAAACGAAATACATGTCCCATATTCTAAATTTGATATTATTAGTAAATCTACGAATGTTCTAGGCTAAAAGGTGTTTAAGGGTCGTACCGTATTTCTTTCAATTGTAGGAACGACTTTATGGCGAACTTAATTTCTATAGTCGTTTCTCTCCTGCAGAAAGGCTGCGGTGTTTCTATATTTCTACTGTTCTGAGGCTACATTTTCTTTTTGAATCGTAAGAAAGTTCAGGCTCATATAACAGATGATATAAATCAAAAGCATGAACAATTTGATGCAAATAGATATTTGTAACATAATCTCAAAATAGAGCGCTGACACGGAACAGCAGAAAACTATAAAAATCATGAGGCTATAGAGGCGTACTGCAATCTTAAGGCCTTATCATCAGTCGTTCCTGCAATTCATTGTAGTGCGCCTTTATAGCCTCCTTGATTTTTATAGTTTTCTACTCTTCAGTGTCAGAGCTCTATTTTGAGGGTATGTTACAAATATCTATTTGCATCACTTTGTTGCTGCTTTTGATTTATATCATCTGTTATATAACCTGAAATTTCCTACAATTCAAGAAGAAAACATGACTTGACAATAGGAGAGCAATGACGCTGACATGGAACAGTAGAAATCTAGAAATATTCCAGCCTTTCTGAAGGAGAGGAAAGACTATGAAAATCAAGGAGGCCATAAAGGCGTCCTACAATTGTAGAAACAACTGTCGGTACGGCCCTAAGATATCACCTGTAAGTGTCAAGTGCTGTGATAATATGAAGTGTTTTAAAGCAGAGTTGAAGCGGTTTTTATTAAATGAATGTCTTTATCTAGTGTCTGAATTTGTTTGTAAGCAGTTGCCTCTTTGTTTGTCTGTTTATCTATTTTTTCATTTCATGTTTATATGATTGTATTTTATTTATATCCTATATTGCATTTTACGTACATATTTTCTGACGATTCCTGTACACTACTCTGTAAAAAGGAAAATAAAGAATTTAAATTTGGATTTAGTGTAGGTACTGCAATGCAATATTGTTATGAATAAAACAGACTTCCCAGAATCAATCATCAGCTACAAACCTGCTCTAAGTCCTGCCGAATCTAAAATCACCATCATTTCTGTGAAACTTCATTAATCAACCACCGCCGCATGTTTGTTCGTCAATTATCCATCTCCGATTCTTCTGCTTTCGCCATTTTTACTTATTCATCTCCAGTGGGTCACTTTTTTGATTCTCGCCGAGGCTCAGCGTTCGACCGATCAGGACGTTCAAAAAAAAAACTCGACTGTTTTCTCTTACTGGTAGGATGGACAGAAAGCATAGCATGCCGCTGAAAGCAGGTGCGCAGTTCGGAGACATGATAATGAGCAGAGATACATGGTTCATAGGTCAAAGCCAATAGCATTAAGGCTTAGACGTGGGCTTGTTGGGTCGGTGCTCAGATGACATGCGTACAAATCAGGGTGTCCCACTATTCCACGTACATAGGGGTACCACGTATTTTTAGACTCAAAGTGAGTCAATTGGAAATGATTTATCTCTATGCAAAAGTGCTTCGTTTGTCTGTTAGAGGGCGTAATATTTGACTCTCACAGGAAACCCCCCCATATAAATTATAGAAGATTGTTCTCTCAACTCGCTCGACGACTGATATTTGGTTAGTACTTGGTTTCTGCGAAGGTAAATGCAGAAAAGGTGTTTCCGTGTATCAAAAGGGATATCCGATTCGACGAATTGCCATCATCAGATTTTTACAAGCTGTAACGCTATTTCCTCACTAACTGGCGAACTACCCGCCTCTCTAGTTCAGCAACTCCTCGGGCGCCAGCCTCCTGGTTAAAGTGTGGAGACAACACTATAGGCTGAAGCAGTTACCCTGAGCAGCTTCAGTAGAGAAAATAATTCAGGGATTTGATGCTTAACCCGTAACCACAGAGGTGACATTCCACTCACACTCTACCAGACGTGACGTCTCTATGACGGCAATGCTATTTTATCAAAAATCGGCATTGTATATTTTTTAATCACTTTATTCGGAAATTGGTTATTATTCTAGGTCTACTGAGCACAACATAAAAGTATTCAAATGGATAAATACTAAAACGTTTGTTTGCAGGAAAATAGTTTCTGATTATTGAAGCAACAATTTTGGCTTTTGGCACATAATTATATATTTTGCCTCAAAATATACATACTAAAAAACAGTAATTTGATTTATAAAATATGAATATAACTCATTCAAAAACTCCTACAGGTAACATAAACAAATTTAGCTAAAAAAAATTGCAAGGCATAGATTTACTTATTTTTTATACAGCACAATCTCTGCAAATTTTTCTTGTACATTCCAAACACACTGGCCGTTTGCACATAATACAAAAATAGGCCGTTCTTCTTTTTTTGTTACAGGGACAAATTCTGTAGGTTTTTCTCACGGCTAACTTCTCCTCTTCACCAACTTCAATGTCTTCTTTTGTCTGGAGGATGCGCTCTATGTTCATGCGTATTTCTCGAGGAATACGTGGGTTGCCGAAACGACGTTTCAGCTCCGGCGTTATCAACTGCATTGCCAATTGTTTTATGAAGTTATATCGCGAAATCTCCGTGTTATCTCGAAGAGATGTTTGGAGGATATAGGCATTCACTGATGCAATATCAACCATCCTATAAAATATGGCCATAGGCCAGCGACGAGTCCTCCTGCTACATGAGTAAACGGTACATTTTTCATCGAATGCGTCAACTCCTCCTTTTGTCAAATTATAGTGGGCTATTATTTCTGGTTTCCCTGTTTAAGGATCCGTAGACTCATTATGGTGCATCGATGAAATCAGCACCACAGCTTTATTCTTTTTTTGAGTATAAGACAGTAACGTCATATCTTTTGTGTAGCCATATATGGATGATCCGACCTGTCTACTTTTTTGAGGAAGAAATTGGACTGGTATCTCCTTTTTCATTGTCTCTACGTAGGTCAATGCCTTTGTTTTTAGTAAAGCGACTGCTTCTATTGAGGAGAACCAGTTATCAGCCGTTATATTTTTTCTATTTGTACCATATAACGGCTTTGCGAGGCGGATAATTGCTTGGGTTGGTTTGGAAATTTTTTTTTCATCAGATAGTAGAGAGTAGCCATCACTGTCTTTACCAGTATACACATACGCATTGAAAAGATATCCCGTTCTGGCATAAGTTAACGCCATGATTTTTAATCCATATTTGCATGGCTTGTTTGGCATTTCATCAATACATGCACCAGTACCAATTGTATATACAGATTGGCAATTTTTGATGAAAATATTAAAAATTTCCGAAATCGGAGCTAGTGGATCGGTTTGTTTTCGTTCAGCACGGGTTTTCCTATCATCAAACCGAAAACAAGCAAGAATCATTGCAAACCTATTTGAATTTGTTACGCAACGAAAAATGTCCCTAACAGAACCATCTGTGGCAAATCTAGATCTAATGTCTTCATTATTGGATTTGAAAATAGAAGTCATCAGAAGAGTTCCTAGGAAGCTTTGCAATTGTATAATATCCATATCGCGAAGATCGCTGGTATCTTTCCTAAATTTTGTACGAAACTGTGCTAAACTTGCGTTTGTCCACTGCAAGATAGTTTCTAAAAGGTCATTCGTGAACAACATATTCCACGTAGTCATTGGATCGGATGCTGTCGCGGCTATATTTTTTAGTCCTGGGCATTTCAAGATGATATTATGTTTCAAGGTTCTGGTATTTGTTACAAAAGCAGGACTGGAAGACCACTTGAAGCGGTTTTTGCCATAATAATATCTTGATGTGTCATTTTCACTTGACCTCTCCTCACCAGATGAATTTGATACATCCGATTCACGTGTCATATCAACGCCCTCATTATAATTTATATCAATTTCACTCTTACTATCATGCTCGCTCAAAATTAAATCGCTGTCAGCCACATCATCGTCCTCATCAGCAGAATTGCAGGAATCAACCTCCTCAAACCATTTTAAAACAGTTTCCTCGAAATTTGAGTCCGTATACTTCACTCGTTTTGAAGGACCAGGTAAATTTTTGTCTTCCATACCAAAAACCTAACAAAATAATCATAAATTATAAATATTCATCTTGTAAACAAAATTCCTCTTACACAGATCTGACGTCTTACAGACACCCGGCAACATAAAATCACTCGCAAAAAATGTAACACTGTATCTATCAACCGCAAACGAACACAGTCGGTTTAGCACTGAAATCCACGAAGGTACGTAGCGTCTGATCCGCGTAGATAGGCGGAGGGGGAAGTACCCAAACAATTGAAAAGTTCAGATGTGTCAGAGACGTGTCTCTAGTTACGGGTTAACGCTCAAAGCAGTAAACACGCGATATTTACTTTTTGCTTTCTATTTCTACTACTTCTCTTTTACGTATCTCTTACTTCAGGCAGGACGGCATTTACGATTAAAATATTAAGTTGTATGTTCTACTTATTCACCAATGATATAAATACCTATCTGAATCTAGCTACCCTAGCAATAGAGCGGAGGACAATCGGTTAGCTCGGGGATGAATGGAATCAACAGCGATTAAAAAACGATGAAGGTGCCGTTACAATTAATTAACATTCAAATAAATCTAACTTCGAGTTGGCCGAACATGTATTAGCAGAGGTATGGAATTCAATGGAAATTGATGGTTATCATGTTACTGCAAAGTATGCTGGGCGAGTCAGAGTCAGAGGTTGATAATTGTAAAAAATCTGCTTACGTAGTACTTGAATGGCACCTAAGGCTAAATTCTTAGGCGTCTCATATCAGGTTCTGCTGACGACGGCACTGCTCAAAAAAGTCCCGTAATTACTTAAATTCCGCGTGGAAAAGAGTAATGACCGACTGGTCTCCCCCTTAGGGGCTTGCCTCCTAGATGTCGAATTTCTAGATATGCTTCGCTCCTCCGTCGTGTCAACGCAAACGAAGTTTCTTCTCTGTTAATGAAGCTTTTTTCTCCCGTTCTGGCCGAGGCCCGAGGCATTCGTTCCTTCTCTTTAAACGAACCTCTTAATTATGTGGAATAAAAGTATTTATTCATCGTTACAGAGAACTGTGGCGCCGTTTTGGAATTGCCAGCTTTTTTGCCTTGCTTCCGAGTAAATGAACTCGTTAAATTAAATAAGATACAGCTTTGAATAGGCAGAAGTATGAAGCAACTTTACTGTTGTGCTGGGTTGTTTTATCTGGAAAGTTTTGCCGAGAGCATTTGGAACGTTACGGTATGGTCTCGCGATGTACTCGTACAGCATAGCAGAGTCAAGAGGTTAGATATATTTTTAAACGCTCTAGTACCCCTCAATGAAAGCGTGTTAAAAAAACGCAAGAGTTCAGAGTTCTGTTCGCTATACACTACCCTTCAAATATTTCCAGACACATGGTGGTCGATAAATGACAGTGAAAACAATGGCGTCAAATATATGGACCCTGCACATCCTACGCATCAGTTCACAAAGTATTAAATTCGACGCAATTTAAATCATCTGAGAGGAAAGAAATCAAACAGTGTCAAACAATTAGTCCTTAGAGATCGTTTTCCTGCTCCATCGCTATTGTTATCTTTCGTTTAGTGCATGGTCCGTGTTTTCATGTATACAGAGTGTCCCAACGAAAATGTAAAGTAGTTTTACTAGCAATCTTGAAAAGATATCAAAGTCTGTTACTGTGCCAACCTTGATATGTTACTAGTGCATATTTCAAAATTATTTTAATATATTCAGGGGGTTACATAACGTGATGTTACATCAAATATTTTTTTTGTAGATAGAACACCCTACATTTGATTGCATATTTGAATAGATTCTGAGAACAATAAGTTTGATCATACAACATATGGTTCCGATTGTCAGTTGTTTAGATATTATTTGTTTAAACGTCAGAGAAAATGCCCAGCTTTGACGGCTCGCCATTTTTGAAGATATTTAGATAAATCTTAGGGCCGTATCGTCAGTCGTTCCTACAATAATTGTAGCACGCCTTTATGGTCTCCTTGATTTTCATAGTATTTTGTCTCTTTCAGCAACGCTGGGTTGATTTCAGATTTATGCTGTTCCATGTCAGTGTCAGTATATAAGATTGATGATATAAATCAAAAGCATGAACAATTTGATGCGAATAGATATTTGTAACATAACCTTAAAATAGAGTGCTGACACGGACCAGTATAAATCTAGCTTTTCTGAAAGACAGGACTATGAAAATCAAAGAGTCATAAAGGCGTCCTACAATTGTTGGAACAACTGACAATATGGCCCTCACAAAAATTTTATAATCATCGATTTTAACCTGATCTGGAAAAAGTGCCGAAATTTCTTTTTATTTATACAGGGTAAAAACGCAAAATGTATCTTTTGTCAAAAATTTCAAATGAAAAATCATGTATATATTTCTACATCGTTAAATAATTTTTTTGGTGAACTTTTTTTTGATATAGGTTTCAATAAAAACCAAATACGAAACGTCATATTTAAACAGGAAATCAAATCTCCTATCAAAACAGTAGCTTTAATTAGCACAACAAGAACAGTCTCAGCCTAAGGCAATCAATTGTTGATGAATTGTTTTAATACATTACCTTGGTGCAAAGCGCATAAGGCCAGATGCCTGTTGAAATCTTCTTGTACGACTAAAAGTGTTTGTGTAGGTATCATGTCCTCGGGTGTTGTAGGTTTCTGATAGACCTCTATTTTTATATGACCCTAGAGAAAGGCGTTAGATCGGTAGATCTCGCTGGCCAATTGATTGGCCCGTGTTCTCCCTATCCAACTATTATGGCGCCAACGGTCTAGATACTGTTCAACTACTCGTCATTGCTTCTCAAGGCGGTCGGCATGAGTATCATGTAAAAAACCTATAAAACGTCAAAAAAAAAACCTATATTATGTCATCTTGTAAACTAGGTAGTATTTAGGGCGCAAACAGTCATTCCACGTTTGCTCACTAGGATCGTTGTGAACGTCGATCTAAGGAGGAATCACTCAACTAAACTACACGCATTACTGGTTGCATATATTTCGTGAGGTCAAATGGTCCTTGTCTGTAGCTTTTATCTCTGAGAAGAAAGTTGTTTGAATAGCAAGATCGCATCTGGATGATTATGTGTATTGGTCTGCATGTGTATAAAATCAGTGATACTTGCTGTGTGAGAAAATCATTACTGAATATGCTACCAATGAAGTATATCTATTGGCTGTGCCCGAAGGGTTATTTTTATGTTGTGCTTTCTGAAGGCGGGTTATGTTCAAAGTTTTAAATTACGAGAATTACGGGAAATCATCACCGCGCCCGCGTTGTGTGTAATTACTGTTAGCATGCATATGGCAGGTAATTCGACAGTGTACAGTGAATATAATTATTCCTTATCTCTCTCATTTTTGAAATGCAGCAAACTTGTATATGTAATTTCCAGAATGGATAAGGAATAGTGGATGCGCAACTGTATACTTTTTCCTCGGAATTAATAGTAATAACTCTAAAAGTATTATAAATCTTGTATAAAAAAAAATCTTAAGGAAAGCTATATAATGATGTGGAAATATACAGGGTGTTCCATTTGAAATTTATGAGAAAAGTTGCATTGCCTTTTTGACAAAGTATAAACAGAAAGATATTTCAGCATTTGTTTCAGATCAGCTTAAAATTGAAAATAATACAGTTGATGCTGAAGGACAAGAGACGAAACGTCGTATTGAAATTCTAATCATGCGATCTTGTGGAGGAGAAAAAGTCGTAATGTTACTGTGCAATTTATTTTGGAATCGTACAATAAATAAAGTCAAGAGAATAAAAAACCCATTTTGGAAAAATTCTCTTTTTTCCGTCTCTGTTCGGAAGTACTTTGAACTTCGAAACTGTTTAGGCGGCATTTTGTTAGCTACCTAAATAGGCAAATTTGACCCCATTTTATATTTATAAGCTATATGTTATCTGCTTAATATCCTGATCAAACACTCTGTTCACATTTTCCAGTTACTCCACCTTATACACTGTCATCTAAAACCAATCTTTGCTGTTCAGGGCAAAATTTGACCTCTCTACTATTATTTTCGGTATTTACCTCTATCAAAAATATGAATCAAGGACGGTTCTGACCGTCTAAATTGAAAGTAGCATTAATAGTACTCTGCGAGTTTCTATCATGTGTGAAAGTTATTAGTTCGATCTATTTACTGAAAAGTTCTCCCACCAATCCAACACTTAGCAAGACGTCGGTCACCAGAAACCAGCAAGTAAGTGGAAGTCCTTACATTACTGCAAGAGATATCGCTAAACAAACACGGTCAGCCGTACTGCACCTAGATCCACGCGGAGTTCGAGCAGTACCGTCAGGGTCGGCTCCAGAATTTCTCAACCAGTACAACTACTTCATCATCATACTTCAGTGCACTCCTACAGCAGCCTGTCAGCAAAACACCATCAAAAAACCAAACAGCAGTATATGGGATAAAAATCCATGATTATATTATTGCAACTGGCTCGATTGTAGGGCCCAAAAATATACTGTGCGCACCAAGAACTGCTAACGGCCGAATCTGTATGTATCTGTCTAACACTGATAGCGTGGACAAAATAATCACTGAACACAAATCCATAAAGATCCAAGACCACGACATCGAAATAAGACCACTTGTTACACCTGCTCAAAGGCTAGTTATTTCAAATGTCTGCCCGTATGTGCGAAACAACATTATTGAAAGTTTACTAAAAACTATGGACATGAAGCTACTCTCCCGCATAACTTACCTCCGAGTTGGAATGCCGGAAAATGAATACAATCACATTCTCAGTTTCCAGCGACAAGTGTATATTGCACCACCTGTTAGCGAAATCGTAGTCTACCACTATTGCGTTTGATGAAACGACATACAGTATATTTTTCTCCGGAGACGGACCAAGCTGTACTCTTTGCAAGCAAACGGGACATACCTCTACGTTGGAAAAATGTCCTAAATCACAATCCAGAAATGAAGACACCGAAACAAGAAGGGAATTAGACTCATTTAATGTACATAACAAAAGTAACACATTGAGCTTAAACATGACTGCAACCATACAAGACAACTCTGTATCAGGAGAAACTCGGCCTAAACGACAAACCTCAACATACCCCGTATCTACTAACGCCCAACCTACATTAACTGAAGCCCCTACTAAGAGAATCACAACATTAAAAGCTAAACGTATCAGAGGTAGCGGACATGATAGAAAATACATATAAATCCAAAGATATTATAGCAACGTTTATAAACTGCACAAATAACATACCGGATATTAACAACTTTTTGGCTGAACTATACTCACATTTAAAGGATAGGAGCACAAAAATAAAAATTACAAAAAGCAGAAGGAAAATAGTGAAACATCTAGAAAACTTATCATCTGAAAACAGTGAGGAAAATGATCTAGAATTATCCGATGGCGAAGTCTCGGGATACTCTTTTTCAACATTCTAGTGTTTGTCACGTTCCTAATTCAGTGCAACCTGAACGGGTACTATACCCATAAAGAAATGCTCAACTTGCTAATACGTGAAAATAATCCATATGTAATCTATCTGCATGAAACCCACCTCAAGAATGATAATCACAGCCACACACCCAAAAACTACTCTAGCTTGTACAAAAATAGACCAAATCAGGATAGAGCAGTAGGGGGAGTAGCAATATTTACCAAAACCTCTATACAAGCAAAAATGCTCCCCATTACTACAAATATGGAAGCTGTTGCCGTTTCGATCACATACCACACAACCATACATATCTGCAATATAGACATACGACACCCAAAACATATAGACTTTAACGCAATAGAGTCTTTGCTGCTACAAGCTCCCTCGCCCAGAATCATAGTAGGAGATTTTAATTGTCATAATATATGCTGGGATCAGACTTCTCTGAAAGATACGGCATGGAGCTAGAAAACATATTTGACAATAATGGTCTTATACAACTAAATGATGGTCGCAGCACTGGGTTCAATGCTTTCAATGGGAAGTTCTCGTTCATTGATTTCTCTTTCTGTGACACTTCCTTAGACCCTTTTCTCCACTGGAACCCCCTATCTGACCTCTATGATAGTGACCACTATCCTATAACTATTGGCCACAGTAAAGATGATGCTTCTTGTGCATCCCCTACACAAAGATGGTAGTTGAATAAAGCTGATTGGGATAAATAACAACAGCAGGTTGAACAACGCTTACCATTACTTCCCAGCTGTGAAGACATCAATATCGAAATCAACAGCTTGATTCACAATATAAAAGATGCCGCTCACATTACCGTAGGAAAAACGGAAACCTGTAACAGGCAACCAGTCCCATGGTGGAATCAACAAATCTCTAATGCAATAGCCACCTGCAAACATTGTTTCAATGTCGTCAAGAAGCATAACACAGCAGAAAATCTGCGAAAATTTAAACAAGCTAGAGCAAAAACCTAGATATCATATTAAGAAAAGCAAGAAAGAATCCTGGCGAAGCTACGTGTCCGCTAATAACTCGTCTACAGCTGCACCGCAAACCTCGGAATAAAATCAAGAGCATCAGTGGATCCAAAAAAAGCTACGATATCACGTCTATAAAACACGATAACCAAGTAGTATCTGACAAATCAGCTGTCCCAGAAATCTTTGCAGACGTCTACTCAGCACACTCTAGCGAAATCAACTACGAGTACAGCCCTTGTTTTCTCCAGTACAAGTCACAGACTGGAAGAAGCACTAAGAACATCAAGAAGTACATCCCCAGGTCCTGACGATATTACATACTCTTTCTTGAAACACCTCCCATTGACGGCAAAATCAATCTTGATGGACATGTACAATAAGATTCTGGTGCCCCGACAATTCGCTCACGTCTGGAGCACAGCCATTGCTATCCCCATCCTAAAGCCAAATAAGCCTCAAGATGGCCCTGCTTCGTATAGGCTGGTATCGCTGACCTATTCTATGTGCAAGCTGATGGAGAAAATCCTCAATAAACGCCTGTTATGGTTTTCACAAAAAGACAAACAAATGAACAACTTACAAAATGGTTTCCGAAGCAACAGGTCTACGACAGATAACACTGTAGTACTGGAATCCACCATCAAGCAAGCACTCGCAAACAACCAAAGTGTTATAGCTGTATTCTTCGATATAGACAAAGCTTACGACACCACCTGGCGATATCTTATCATAAAATCCGAGATTGAGATTGGAATCAAAGGGCATCTCTTAGGTTTCATACAAAACTTTCTGAGTAACCGTACCACGAGGGTGAGAGCCAATGGAAAGTGTTCAACGAAAGCACATTAACAAATGGAATACCGCAGGGGTCCGTATTAAGCGTCACACTTTTTTGAATAACGATCAATGGATTAATTGAACTATTTACCCACAGGAAAAAGCATCATATAACAATCAATCAATAAAATGGAGATCTACATATAACAAAATTAATATCATCGTGTCAAAAACGTTTGAATCTTGTTAAAGTCTTAGCAAATACCTTTTGAGGAAGTGACTTCTTATCACTAGTGAGAGTGTATCGCGCTATATTAAGAATCTAAATCGACTATGGGAGTATACGCTATACAACCGCAAGTAAAAAATTTTCTAAAAAAACTTGACGTTTTACAACACAAGGCAATACGACTGGCATATGGCTTACTAAGAACTTCACCGGTGGAATGCCACCAAAATTTTAAGCCTACTCCTGCTAACCACATTACTGTCAAGTGTCCTTCCAGAGGATTCTACAGCAACTACAGAGACTGCCCAATATCAGAGCGTATTATTCGCACCGACTTCAACCTGAACAAGCTTCAGCACACGTACTCATACGAGGGATGTCTTTTAAGTTTTGCATATAGAAACATAGTAGGCTGCGCGGATCGAACGTCAGTACTGAATCTTAACCTCACTCTTCAGTAAACCGAAATTCAAAGTTTCACAACAATACGTGCAGTGTTCTCACAACAGTAAATTTTTAAGTGTCACAAAGTCATTAGAAAAATGGAACTTCATTCTCGAAGTGTTTCGAAAAAGATGGTCGCGACATTTGTGTCAAAAGCGGGTCATATTGCAACAATTCCTCTTAATGAGCAAAGAACTGTTACTGCGGATTGATATACCACCATTTGTTTGCCAAAAGTCATCACCGAGCTTCGAAAAATCAACCACTAAAGAAGAATCATCCTCCACCAAGACAATGCAAGCTCGCACACAGCCCAAAACACAAGGCAGTATTTAACGAAAGAAAACGTGGAATTATTGGACCATCCTCCATATAGTCCCGATCTAAGTCCTAACGATTTCTTTACTTTCCCGAAAATTAACAACAGACGTGGTCAAAGGTTCCAGTCACCAGAAGAAGCATTTGACGCATTCAAAATGTCGTTTTGGATCTGCCAGCAAACGAGTGGAATGAGTGCTTCGGAAATTGGTTCGAGCGCATGCAGATGTGTATTAATCTTCGTGCAGAATACTTCGAAAAATAATAAAGTCATTTAAAACTACCTACCGTGTTTTTTTATTTTCATATGCAAAACTTAAAAGACATCCCTCGTATTCGTTATATTCTTCCCCATGGATACCTCAGTCTACCCACAAGAAGACGCGACCAAGTGATTATCTCCCGTTTGCTAATTGGTGATACGCTAGTGACACATAAATAGATGTTCAGCGACGAAGAAGCCCCAACATGTCAAACCTGCCAACTCCCAGACTGCAGACTTATCGTGAAGCATATACTCTTAGAGTGCACTGATACGCAAGACGCACAAAACCATGCTTACATGCCAGAATTCATAAAGGAAGCCCTCACCACGTACCGAACGAACACTACAGTTCCTGCACGCTAACAACCCTGCGTGGTTGATGCAGCTTTTGTGTTTTCTCAATAAAAAAAATATGAATCACTTTTATCGTGACAATAAAATGGGAATCTGACATTTATGCTGCAGATTTTTATGTCACGTCAATATTATGATGAAGGAGATACCTTTTTTAATAATATTCGATTACATTACAATCATTTTGGGGGTATTTCTAGCTATTCTTTCTATTAAGTGAGCTATAACTGCTTTATGACTCTATATAAATAGTCGTATAATGATGGAAACGACTATGATCCTGGATGTTGCAGCCATTGCCGGTAATCTCCTTCTTCGAAACACAAAACGTTTTCAAGTCGCTTAGCGACGACACTTGGATTTGCTGTCGACATGTATGTAAAAATAGGGTATTTCCGTTAGACTCACAATAAGCGTTTTCGAAAATCGGTTTTTGATTTCAAATCTACTAAGTGGTTGGCCTTTTGCCCAGAGCAGTCAAGGTCTTTGTAGTAAAATTCCCAGTAGCTAATGGCATGACTTATTGACGTTAATTTCCGATCGATCGTGTGTCAATAATGTCAATCTCAAACGTCACTAGCCATTTTCAGCGGGCGTAGCACGTGGTAAAGATGTAGAGGCTCCACAAAAGATGAAACCTCGAAAGAAATTTCAATAATTAATGAATTTTCAATTTTTCTTTATCTGTCAGAGGTTTTATAAAAAACGTAGCTATGGTTTTACCAATAACTAATAATGTATAGACAATCAAAAATTTCTACCTAATTGAACCTCATCGATCCAGCTTGTAGTTCGTTGACTCTGTTCTCTTATACTTTCGTCTAAGAACAATTTCAGCAACAAACTCGTCGACTTAGTGAGTAATGATATTTCTCCTAATTGCTTATTGTTGCTGTTTCCAAATTTTGTCTTTAGCTCCTGATGATGATAGCATAGACCATCGAAAGCTTGATTTTTGAGTTAAACGAGTGTACTTGTCATCCCAAAGAAATTAAAGATATATATATATATAACTTGAGACGTGGTCATTGTCGTCTAGACCAGTTAGGTGAAAAATAAAGCTTCCGCCTTTTGTTGGGTACTTCGACAAAATTTAAGCAATGGGTACTTCGACAAAATTTAAGCAAAGAGGACTCTTTATACTTTATTAATCTCTAGCTTTCAATGGACTTTGCCATCTTCATCAGGAGCTGCAATAATATTGAGAAGAAATAGCAACTATTGCGCAAAATTTTAAATTAACTTACTGTAGTATGTGAGGATGTTGCTATATGTTATTAACATTTTGGTTGAGGGAAGCACTCAGTAACCTGGAGTAAGCTGGATACAGGGTACTTTCATCAAAATTAATATAAACTACACACAGCTGTAGTCAGGAACAAATTTAAAAGGATCAAATATGCACCTGGTGTTGCACAAGATGGTGGGCGTAGGATCATAAGTGACAGATGGCAGAAGGTTGGTAGTGTCAGTGTCGATGGATGGAACCAAAATTATTTTGTAAAGTGTGTGCTATGCTGCCAAATCACTTCTGATGATGTGATTTATCAAGATATGTTGTGTAAGAACTTGTCAATCGACCAGAGGCAGTTGAAATAACTATATTGTTGATGAGATGAACAATAGAATTAAACAATTATTATTTTATTATGAGAAAACAATTATTCAAATTCGAATGGAATGGAATCTTTGGTGGAATAGACCAAAAAACAGATTCCATTTGTGGTTGCGAAAAGTCAAAATTTGGAGAGATGTGTAAGTGCTCCAACTTTTTGCAGTTTAGCAAATATAAGTAAATGACGCTCAGTTGCTTATCATCTGTCTTCTTATCAATACAGTTGTCATTCATGAAAATGTGAGACATTTCCAGGAATAAACGTTTGGATAGGTGTTTTCCTTTATCAAGAACTTTAATACTTGTGTAGTTCATAGAGTGCCCTGTTGTATTGACATGAGATGCCTAGGATCACTTTTGTGTGATGTAATCCTTCCTTTTAGAGATCTGAAGGTCTGACCTATGTATATTTGGTTGCAATTGTTGCAATTGATAGAGTAAACTGTGTTGGTTAAGCCAAGCAGCGGGACTCTGTCATTCATCTTTGAAAAAATGCAGTTTATAGTTAGGTCGGATTTGCAAGTAATTTGACAGTTCAACGGGCTACATAGTCTGATCAGCTTAGGGGTCAGTTCTTTGATATAGGGTAGGACAGCAAAACCAGATCTGGAATTTGGGATGGCGCTTGTATTCTTATTTGAATTGGTGTTGTTGTTGGGAATTATATCAGTTCTGTTATTAGGAGTTGTGAGACTATTACTGGGATTGTTAGAATTTGGTAAAATACTGGGAGGACAGCTGAACAAGATCTTGTTAATCAAAGATTTCGAATAACCATTGTTGATGAACAGTTTTAATAGCTTCCGTAAATTTGAAGTATGGAAAGGATTATCTGAGATGCTGATTACCCTTGTTTTCATCTGTTTCACCAAGTTGATTTTATTCCTTAGTTTATGGTATGACCTAAAATTGAGGAAGCGGCCTGAGGTCACGGGTTTCTGGTACCAGTCTACCAATAAAGTATTATTGTTGGTGCGGATGAGTCTTGTGTCTATAAGGGGGACAGACAAGTTCTCATCTTCTTTTTCAATGGTAAATTCGATGTAGGGGTCATAGCTGTTGAATTCCCCGACAATACTATCCAGACCTCTAGAAGAAAAGCATAAAATAATGTCATCTACGTATTTTTTCGGAATAACAGAATCAAGCAGATCATCCATAATGTATTCTGCCAAAATTGGTGATAGAACAGATCCCATAGGGCAACTATGTGTCTGAGAATACATGTTGTTGTTTCATAATAACTACTTCCCTTAATTTTGTATCATGTATCCAGCTTTCACCAGGATACTGGGTGTTTCCCTCAACCAAAACATTAATAACATATAGCAACATCCTCACATACTACTGTAAGTTAATTTAAAATTCATTTTGCACAATAGTTGTTATTTCTTCTCAATGTTATTGCAGCTCCTGATGAAAATGGCCAAGTCCATTGAAAGCTAGAGATGAAGTATAAAGAGTCCTCTTTGCTTAGATTATATATATATAGAAACTTATCATGCGGAGAAATGTATATAACAAAAAATCGAAAAATAATGGGCAAAATCCGCAAAAAGAAGGAAAGTGGATACGAGCAGAAAATAGGATAGGTAACCCGAGCAATACGTATTTCTGCTGGTTGGCTTTATCAGGCCCGAAATGAATGCACATGCGCAACTACAAAAGTAGATACACATGCCCATACATCCGGATACGGGTGTACCTGAGGAAACGAGGATGGAGAGGGAAAAAAATCACACACGAAGTCCACAACAAGAGCCAACCTACAGATTGTAGTATAAAATAGCAAGAAGACCTCGAATTTTCAAGGCAACAACTTACCACAACCACGCGGCCGGTTATAGCCACTTGCTGTGGTACTTCAAGCCCAAAGGACCTACAAAGAGAAAATTATCACGCGGAGAAAGGTATATAACAAGAAATAGGAAAGTAACGGGCAAAATCCGCAAAAAGAAAGAAAGTGGATACGAGCAGAAAATAGGATAGGTAACCCGAGTGACACGTATTTCTGCTGGTTGGCTTCATCAGGCCCAAAATGAAGGCACATATGCATCCACAAAAGTAGATACACACGCCCATATGTCCGAATACGGGTGTAACCTGAGGAAACAAAGATGGAAAGGGAAAAAAGAATATGACACTCGAAGTCCCAGCAAGACCCAACCTACACTTTGTAGTATGAAATGTGTAGAAGACCTCGAATTTTCAAGGCGACAAGTAACCACAACCATGCGGCCGGTTATAGCTAGTTGCTGTGGGACTTCAGGCGAAAAGGGTCAAAGAAAAAATGATCGTGCGGAGAAAGGTATATACTCGTAACAAAAAATAGGAAAATAATGGGCAAAATCTGCAAAAAGGAGGAAAGTGGATTCGAGCAGAAAATAGGTCAGGTAACCCGAGCAATACGTATTTCTTCTTGTTGGCTTCATCCGGCCCGAAATGAATGTACATATGCAACCACAAAGGTAGATACAGATGTCGATACAGCCGGTTACGCGTGCAACCTGAGGAAATGAAGATGGAAAGCGAAAAATATGACACTAGAAGTCCTCAACAAGAGCCAACCTAGTGGTTGTAGTATAAAATGGCAAGAAGACATCGAATTTTCAAGGCGACAAATAGTCTAATCGTATTAGCAAATTTCTCAGAAATAACTGTAATGTCTGGTTTAATTGGTGCAAGTTGTTTAAGAGGGTATTTAAAACATAACGCATAAAATTGGTATACCAATTTTTGTGGGAAAACTTTTTTATTTTACAACAGAGAATTAAAAAACGTGTTTTTTAGGATTCAGTCCAAAGTGTTGGCAGGAACGAAAAAAATCTTTATATATGATTTTTGGCTATTTATGAGACCTACAAAATGAGACTACTTGTTAAAAGATCTGACTAATAGCAAAAATGTTATGGCCGAAAAACGAGGCAAAATGCAGGTTTTGGACTTTTTGGCAATGCGACGATAACTTCACGCAACTACTTGAAATTCTTCAAATCCGTAGGATTCATACTCCTAAATAAGAACAACAAATTGGACTATATTGGTCAAGTAGTATTTTGAGAATTTCTAACTGTTTATCCCAAAACACCTGTCTTCCGGCTATCACTACTGATTTGGTGAGCAATATACAGGGTTCGTTCAAAGAGAATTTAATAGCAAAACACACGTGTTTACCTTGCCGATATGAATCACAAACCGTTCCGAAAGGTAAATGTTATTTTTATGCGAAAAAGAAAGGTTACGTTATTCCTTCTAAATAAACTCAAACATTTCGTATTTGTGAGTAAATGAACAAATGCGCTACGATATTCAAAAAACATACGTAACTATACACGTTTCAAACCAAAGCGGATGGTCTATCATCTTTTGTTGCGAATTACTCACAGATACATGTTTAAATTTGTTTAGGAGAAAAAGCGCAACCCATCCTTTTTTGCATAAAAATAACATTTATCCTCCGGAATGGTTTGCGATTCATATCGGCAAGGTAAGCTAGCGCATTTTGCAATAAAATGCCCTGTGTACTAACCCTGTGTATTGCTCACTAGGCTAGCAGTGATGGCCAGGAAACGGATGTTTTGTCATAAACAATTAGAAATACTCAAAAATTACTTGACCAATCTTCTCCAGTTTTTTTGTGGTCATTTAGAAGTATAAATCCTACGAATTTGAAGAATATCAAATATCTACGAGAAACCATCGTCGCATTACCAACAAGTGCCAAAACCTGCAGTTTGCCTTGGTTTTCGGCCATAACTTTTTTGCTATTCTCATAAATACCTAAAATCTTATATGAAGAGTTTTTTCGTTCCTGCCAACACTTTCGATTCAAGCCCAAAGGATCTACAAAGAGAAATTGATCACGCGGAGAAAGGTATATGAAAAAAAAAAGGAAAATAATGGGCGAAATCCGCAAAAAGAAGGAAAGCACAAAAGTACAAGTATATGGCTGAGACGGCAGATGCATAATATGGCATTTTACGGTGTAAGTACATGATCAACAAATAATACGGTACTTCAGTTATACTAGAAGTTACATATATCTAATTAACAAATTATTTTCACCACATTTAGCCAAATATGTATTCATCTTATGTGGTATCGCGACGTGGGATGCTCGACAATTTAATTACTTGCGGACGCAATATCAATTGTCAGGAGGCCAATTTCCTGAAAGTAAAAAGTGGTGTCCGGTACGATTGTTATCAATCACTGGCGACGAACGCTATTTGTGTCGGGTACCTTCTTCCTCGGTTGATCTACTGAACTTTACATTTCGAAGATACGCCTATTGTGCCATCTCAACCGCTATGCCATCTCAGGCCATATTTTCCTACATGTGGTATAACATCCAAAGAACATGATATCCATTTTTCGGGAATTTAAAATACTTCCCCGTAAAATGGGACCTGTTTCGACTTCAGCATGTTGAATAAATCACCCTATGTAAAGATTATCTCCGTATCTTGATACAACGTAATATAGCCAAGGGTCGATACGAGCATTTATTATATTTCATTTGGATTAGATAAAGGTCATGCTTCTAAAGAGTTTGTGAAAGTTAGCAAAATCTGAATATATCTGGCACTACTTCAAGGCTCTCAAACATAATTAACCCCAGTAGGGAGGAAGTGCGGAACCGTGTTAAAAGCTCTTCTAAATAATGGTAACAGGAAAAGTAATGATTCACTCAATCCTCGCAGCGCGTGAATACAACAATCAGGACATCATGTTTGTTATATATCAGATGAAATATCTAAACTTCTTCAGTAGAATCCGTATTGACATAACTCAGATTTTTTATAATACAACACGGTGAATAACGTAGAACGTCAAGAACTTTACCACAAAAAAACAAAAACTAAACCTAAAGCTTGACGATAGCAAACGTGGTGTAAGCAAGGTTTCGTTTCCATGTCCAACGAATTCTCCCAAATATCAACTCTCAGATACCTGATGACTTTCATCCATTTCCATTACATCATTTTTTAACTTTTTGTCAGCCTTTTGGGTGTTCTAGTCTACTGTGCGACGTGGTGGCCGAAACGTGTTCATTAAAGAAGAAGAATGTTCAGACCATGGAGTCCTTCAACATGAAAACCACAGGGGTTTCAGATGATACACTAGACAGTGACAAATCTCGGGTACGAAACATTCATATCACATTGTGTAACAAAACCTGCACTCACAAGAAATTTACGCTTAATGCCCAACATTTAGGTCGGGGCAAAATGTGTGACCCAGTTTAAAGGTAGTTGCATTCATTTTCTGGGTAGTTTTTCCGCAAAATGCCGGTAAATGAAATGAGTGTTTATCAGCTTCACCGGCGGGTACAAAGTGGTAGTTAACAGGAAACGCGAAACTAGACAGTGATGGATGAATGTTTTTGAGTACTTTTACACAAAGCTGCTGTACCTGTTGTCACGGCAACAGTACAGTACAAAATTGTCAGGATCATTTTGAAATGTAAATTGCCTAATGTAAAAATCCATCGTTATGACTGTTGATTAACATTTTCTGCTGGAAGATAGAAACTAAATTGAATCGGTCAAGAACCTCATAAGTCACATAGATTGATTTTGTTTTTGGACGTTTCTTTTTGAGAAACTATCATCAGCTCTATTATTTATATGGTCCGAAAAAAGTTCACTCTATATCTGGTACCATCTTTCTCTTATTTAAGTACAAACAAATGCTTGATGAAAGATTACGTGATAACGGATAGATGTGCATTACATAATGATATGATGGAGTAAAACTTCATAAAATGATACTTAATCTAGTGATATTCAGAATAACAAATCCATTTTAACAGTATTTCTATTTTATCCATAACAGGTGTTCAAAAAGGTTGCCGCTATTTTCTCAACATAAATATGACCTTCTAACAGTAGAATTCAAAACATCACGTAACATTTCTGGTGTAATAATGCTAAACGCTTCCACTACACATTTTTGTAACTGCTGATCAGTTCCGAAAGCGTGCTGATAAACTAGGTTCTTAATAAAACCCCAAACAAAAAAGTCCTGAGGAGCTAAGTCCGGGGAACAGTACACTTCACTGGAGGTTCCAATCCACGTTCCGGGAAATTGCTGAGAGATACTGTCGAACTTATCTAGAGTTATGTGCAGGAGCACCGTCGTGTTGAAAGCTATTAACCTGTGCCAAAGGCAAATCATCCAGACAGTCTTCTATATTATGAAACAATAGTTGAAAGTACCGTTAATGAGTTGTAAATAAATGGACTTAATATTCTTACCCCTAGAATTCCACACTACATATCAAACCTTGATCGTTCTTAATGTCTAGATACTTGCTTAGCCCACAGATTTTCTTGAGCCCAGTAATGAGTGTTGTGCCGATTAAAGATATCATTATACAGATCTGCAACCAAAAAACTGTTTGAATGATTCCATTTCTTATGTTGTTTGATGTGCTGAAAACAAAACTGATATCCGAGAATTTCCAGCACGTCAGGATTTTCCGTAAAATGCGAAATCAGATTTACCCCATTTCCTTGTCCTTGTCTTGACAAATATTTTAGGATTATCATCACATGAGACAAATGGCCAAATGAGGACAACACGTTTAGTTCCGATCAGATGTTTTGTGGCGCCTTGCTTTTTTTTATTTAACCCCTCCATCTCGCTCATTTATTTACCTTGTCAGTCTTCTCTTGCTATAACGACTCTCTGGTATTATTACGATTTTGATTATATAATAATATCGTAAAATGGACTCGCGAAAGTGCGTAAATTCACCCGACTCTTTTTGTTTTAAAAAAGCAACAACACAACATAATAGTAACTTTGTAAAGAAATTGTATTTTGCATATTCTTACTCAGATGAAGGTGAAGTACAACCTCAAGACGATCAGGATTCAAGTTCTGACTTTGAAGATGACACTAGACTAACATTGTTCTCCGAGGAAGTGGTAAATGATCTGGTGAGAAATCTGGATCCTCCCAAATATGTTGCTGAGTTGCTTGGATCACTATTGAAGGATAGGAATTTATGACTACCTGGAGTATATTTCTCTTGGTTCAGATATGATGAAAAGAAAAGTGTTTTTTGGCTTCATTTACCAAAGAAAATTTAGTTTATTGTAATGATATTAAAAGTTTGTTGGTTCGATTCAGAATCTATTATGAATCCAGTCAATGGCGTCTGTTTATGTGTGTGACTCATCCATACGCTGCTTAAAAGCAGTTTTACTTCATAACGGTGGTTTCTGTGTTTTCTGTTGGACATGCTATGTTCTGTAAAGAGACCTATGAGAACTTGGAAGTGATTCTTCAAAAACTCAAATACTAATATCATGGTTGGCAAATTTGCAGTGAATTGAAGACCTTGTGCATGCTGCTGGGTCAACAAGCTGGTTCTTGTTTTTTATGGGACAGTCGAGACCGAGAAAATCACTGGCCGGTAGAGAGTTGGTAGCCAAGGACTTTACGGTTGGTTGACACAATGTTCTGCGAGAACCCAGATTTCTTCTTCCCGCCATATAAATCTAGGCCTTATGAAACAGTTCGTCAAATCTCTGCCAAAAGATGGAGAATGTAAAAGGTTTCCAGGCCTTTCGAGGGCGAAATTAAAAGAAGGTGTATTTACTGGGCCAGAAAGCTACGGCAAAACGGACTTCATTTTTAGATTCAGTGCGTCACAAACAATATAAATCAGTTAAAATTACGAAAACAGCTTTTGTATTAGTGACTATACTCTCGTCGGACAGTATTGTTTTTGAAGAGAAATTTAAATCTTGACACGTTTATGTGTACCACTCACAAAAATGTTGGCGCCGTTCGCTATCTCCTGGTCCTGAATTCATAGGGGTGATATTTGTTTTGACGCAAAATAAATTGTGCTGTGGATTTGGTAACTCCTACATTTTTGTGAACTTGCCTAGTTAATATCTTAGAGGTCTCAGCAGCCACTTGTAAAACATTATTCGCTAAAGATTACTTGTTTCGAGACGTAACAGGCTTTTTGAAAGAACCAGATTTATTTTTATTTCGAGGCATCTCTAAGAAAATAGTCTTTACGTGGCTGCCAGCATGTCGAACGTTTCTTCACTGCTGAAATGACCGCGTGGTATCTTTGAAGATTAATAATAACAAAATGTAACAACAATACTCGGTGACAGGATTAACGTCAAGCCAAGCATTTATTGGCAACGACTACCTTAAAAAAAACAAAAAAATTAAAAATATACCTTCTTCTGACCGTATGAAAAATGAAGTTGTTGATGGGTTCTCAAAAACGAACCATCGGGCACAAAATTAAAACAACACAATTATTTAGTGCCTAAAAAGTGCCAAAGGAAAAGCTTAATTAGTTTTTTGAAATTTCTTAAAATAAAATCAGAAAAAAAATAAAAACTGTTTTAGTCTTTCCCAAACATCGCAGTAAGCCATGAAAATTAACAAGTTTCTCATCGGAATGTAAATACGCAAAAAAGAACGCAACTTTTTCTCAATGTAACCTAAGCTGTATCTCGCTCAGGTATTGAGATCCTCATGCATCTTTATCTTGAACACCCTGTAACCCTGTAAATTAAGCAGCATTAATATGTCACGTGTTTCAATCTTGCACGTCCAGACTACGACTCCAGGTGGATGTCACATAGACTATAGCGGTTGTTAAGTCCAAACCAGTGACCAGCTTGTCTCTAGGGAGGCATTGAAAGGTATTTTAAAGTCACTCAGAGGACAAATTCGAAAAATTTTTTTAAGAACATAGTAATATTCATGGACCATTTGTAATAAAAAAAAATCATATGAACGTATGTCCTAAACATCTTGCCTTTTGAGATAGTTATGGTAAAGATTCCAGATAGAAATCTGTATTTTATAATAACTGTGATACTATTGTAGATATCTTTACGAAATTTGGTTTATACATATTTTCTATGCATCCAGGTGCATTTCCTGATGTACACACAATTTTATTATTTCTCCTTTACTTCTTCGTAGGAGAAAAAAATGGTATTGCTTTCTTTCCAAATAAGAACTATTTTTGAAATCTTCATTTATTGATTTTCTTCTGCCAGATGCATGCTTTTTGCTCAAAAAAGTAAAAATTGTTTTACTTCTGGGTCAAATCGCTAGAAACCTGTTGCGGTGACTACTGTGCAGAAACCGTTTGTAACCAGACAAGATACAGCAAAAATAGTGTAGGTTTGCAAAAATTCTCACATAGCTTCAATATACCATTATGAATAATATATCAAAACTCTTCATATAGCCCTGAAGCGGAATCTTGTTATCAAAGTTGTCGAAGTAGAGGAAGTGCAGCATATTTAGAATACTTCAGGTAACTTGGAATATCTAAATAAATGCAAACGCTATCTGTATTTTTTGGCGTGAATATCCTGTCGTAAATCACACGGAACCACAAGTACTAGAAACAGGCCGGCAGCTTGACATTTCCTGCTACCAGAGAAACACGGGAACGAGATGTCTACTTTGAATATTTTTTCGGCAAGAATGCAATCATCGATAATGATTCACTATGATCTTCACTTCAATTATTTGAGCTGTTGTGTGTCCTTGTTAGCTCACAATTTTATTTTGATTTTGTAAATATATTTCGAATTAAAAATGTGACATGGAATTTTAAATTAGGATATCATGTTGTTAATCTGGACTAGTTACAGTGCTTAATGAGCGAATTGTGGATTTACGCTGCTTGTAGGGCTTATGAATCCGTTGTGTATATCTGTGATTATTGTAAGAACAGTAACTTAGAACACTAACGTTCAGGCTTAATACTGATTTGTGATTATTGTGGCTGATTACTTAATAATTAATAATTATAAGCTATTTTGTTAAAGACATTAATTTCCAAAGACTGTAAAACGGTTGCAAAGTTGAGGAATGTATTAGTTTCTTCAGAAAAGTGTAAACAATTGTCAAATTATATTATAGTTTATAATTATATCCCAAATGACCCTAAGTAAATTTACGCTTTTGGAGTTCTTTACTTTGATATATATCTTGATGAGGTTTCGGGTTTGTGTTTTGTTTGATTGTTCATGTCATTAAAATTTAATGATTTCATAATAATTGAATGCATTTTTTATTTTTCTATCCCGTTAATCTTGCAGCTGCAGCTCCTCTACTTTAATTTTTTGGGTCACCGTTTATCACGTCCAGTGACCTGTGGATTCTCAGGTACTCTTGTGCTCTTATGCGGCATATATTATGAATATATATGTGGAAGCATTGGTGTATACAGCTTCTGCAAAAATACATACCACTCATACAAGGTGTGTCAAAAAAGTGTAATTGTTTTTCTAAAAATTCATCCCACGAGCAATACAAAATCTGGATACAAAATAATCGAACGAGAAATTCTTGAAGACTCAAAAAAGGAAGTTATAGTATTGATCCGTACCATTCAAGAAGATCCTGGTCTGTTTAAGTTGGGAAGTCATATGCTTGGAAAGAACTCGAACCCACTTGAGAGTTGCTTGACGCCTTCATTATGTTATTGTTATTAATAATTCAAAAGTCCACAGCGATTCTTGGAGCGTATTCTATTGGAGGTTACATGTCAAAAATACCATTGTTTGATATTTCTCTGGAATGGCACGATTTACACAAAAGCAGCTTATACCAAAATACCAAAAAAATATGCTAGTGGCTGCGAATAAACGTCACGAAAGCTTGAAAAAGTTTTGATAACTTTTAGTGTGCTGTTGCAAGTAATATGTTAAAGTCCAGATTGATACAATCAATATAGACGTACTTCCGTATTTAAGATCAAATGAAAATACTGCGCCACAGACTTTTTGAACTAGTTGTCATAAAAATGAGTATATGAAGTTTGTAAAATAAGTACTGTTTACGTATTACTTGTCATTCATAAGACAACTTTTGTAACGTATTCGTCACTGTCGCGAAGAAAAGCTATATTTTTCTATAACTACAAATATATAGAACATCAAATGTTAAAGTCATAATGCAGAAAAGTGGCTGCCTTCAACATCTAGCGTCCGCCTTAACGTATCTTGTAAGCACTCTGCTACCGTTTCATTTAATCATCGGCTGAATAACAATCCACAAATATGTTGTTTCTACTTAAGTTGCTCATATTGTTCCTTTCTGACCATTGTGGTTTTTAATGCTGATGAAGTACTTTGCCTATCTACACATTCCCACGCCACCTATGAGGCACTGTGCCTGACGACTTTTCTAAAATTGGTTTCCCCAGTAGACACACTCCACGATCCAAGTATCTTCCATTAAACTCCTATAAATATATAGTGTCAAAGATATTTATAATTCCTCAGCTTTCTTCTTCGTCATTCTCACCTTCAGCTACATGCGGCTCAGCATTAGGGCACGATTGGCCCTGGCAATTGCTGCATACTGACGAATAGGATGATCCCACTTTCTTACTGCTGCAGTTGTTATTACAGCTCTTCCAGTAATTGCTTTAAGGTATTAACTTTGAAATACATAATAATTTTCATTTATTTACGATATTTGTCTTTTTCAGCTTATGCCAGATTTTCTCACAGATAGATCACTGTGCGTCACCTTGAAGTTTGTAGATGTTACTTTTAGGTTGAAATATCAATTCCATTCCCCAAACTTAACGTGACTCTCTCAAAAATTAATTGAGGCAGAAAATGCGACGCGAATCATTTATCGATTATAGGAAATACTTATTCTGATACCGTTTATCTATTTTTAGATTCGGTGTCTATAAAGGGCTTACAAAAAAATTAAAATTATTGCTGTAGATTAGCAGGAAACTCGAAAAAGTACGACCATATTTTGACATCTTTTCAAAAACTAGATTGGTTGAATGTTACAAGATTATCTAAATATCACTTACTATGTTACGTTCATAAACTCCAAATCACCTCATTACCTCCGTTTTTAAAGTAAAAGCTGATAAATGTATGTGTATTCATTCTTGAGATACCCGCTTCCCAGATACACTCACCATGCCTATCCACAGAACTTCATTTTTCGATAAAGGCTTCACTACCTATATAATTCATTACCCCTGAAACTAAATCTTTGGCAAGGGATAACTTTAAACAGACATATCAAGAATCTGAACATATATCTGTCACGTCTGCTAATAAAAATAGTATTTATTCAGTCATCAGAGTAGTTACATTTTATTGCCATTTATCTATTTTACTCACGTTTGTATCTATTTTTGTATGGGCAGAGTGGAATAATAGCTTAAACTTCATCCAAATAAAAAGACCTGTGTTCTCTTTTTATGAAGAGCACTGTACATAGATTGGAAACTAGCTACTTTGTAATAGATTTATCTATTTCAGGCTTTTGGGTCCTTAGCAACACAACTTGATTTCAGGACCATTAACTTTATTCTATCGAAGAATGTATATTGATAGGTACTGCAAGGTACCTGGGTCTTTCATTTTCCTAGCGAAGCATTTCCAGTGAATTATATTACTTGCAATACCTAA